TGGGGGGAAAGTGTCCGGACTGGAAGTGGGGGAAAAAGTGTCCGGACTTGAAGTGGGGGGAAAGTGTCCGGACTGGAAGTGGGGGGAAAGTGTCCGGACTGGAAAAGTGGGGGGAAAGTGTCCGGACTTGAAGTGGTTAAGTAAAACGTGTAAGGGCTGAAACCTTGAGCAGATTATTATGGTCTGTGACTACTTGTCCTTGTGACACCCGCTTCCCCCATTTCATCTTTTGCTGTTATAGGGACAGAAAGTGAAGTTGCCTCACCAATGGGGTTATGGACACCAGTGAAAATTTGACAGAAGTATTTACTTTTCCAAGCCTATCCAAAACAAAAAAAAGTTTTGGGTGGAGTTGGGTTTTAAATAAAATTTGGGTTTCAATATAAAATGAGTCATGAGGGAAGTGTGTATGCTGACGTTGTTGATCTTCATTCGAAAACTATTCGTTGCTTTTCTGTCATGCTCAGGGGCAGAGTGACAACTCATGGGGCCCCCGGGCAATAGGGGATCATGGGGCCCCTGTGTCCTTGCCCAAACTAAAAAAAAAAGCCTATGAAAAAGGTACCAGGGGCATCTAATGGGGCCCCCTACTGACCCCGGGCCCTCGGGCAGTGCCCGAGCTTCCAAATGGTCAGTCCACCCCTGTTCATGCTAACCCTCTAGTTACAGTGCTGTCTGTGTCATTGGCATAAGACAAATATGCAGATCAGAGATTTTAACTTTACTTAACCACTTCAGCTCCGGAAGGTTTTACCCCCTTCATGATCAGGCCATTTTTTTTCTATTCAGCACTGCACTACTTAAACTGGCAATTGCGCGGTCATGCAACACTGTACACAAATGGAATTTATATAATTTTGTTTCATACTATTTAAGCTTTTTTTTTCTTTTCTTTTCTTTTTTTTTTTATTGGTTGTATTTGGTCACGACTGAGTTTTTTTTCATTTTTGTTCTATAAATAGAAAAATACAGAAGATTAAAAAACCCCCCAAATCTTTCTGTTATAATTCCAATAAAAAAAAAAATCAATAAATCAAATTTCGTCATAAATTTAGGCCAAAATGTATTCTGCTACATGGCTTTGGTCAAACAAAAATCCCATTAAGTGTATATTAATGGGTTTGTGTGAAAGTTATGCTGGCTACAAACTATATACTGGAGTTTACACAGCTATGATGCTATACTGGTAATGGCGGTGATCGGTGCCTTTATAGTGGGACTGTGATAGTGCGGCGGGCAATCTGGCACGAACAGACCCTCGCTGGGAGGTACACTGACATTGACATCGCTAGTGACACTAATACAGTGATCAGATATAATACTATACCGGGAGGAAAAAAACAGGCAGATCGCTGTTCTGTGTACAGAGTTCTATGTGTTTGTAAACATAGGACTGTGTGCTGTGATTGGCCACAGCCAATCAGCAGGTCTCAACCATAAACCATTGGCTGAAACCTGCTGACATTGTATTGTGTCCAACCACAATGTGGGTCAACAGAGGGCGTGTGCATGTAGGCCCCAAACCTGGAAGCAAACCGTCAACATTTGTTTAGTTTGCTGAGCTTGCAGCTGCCTGTCACCCAGTCACAATAAATCTACTGTGACGGGGCGGCAAGTGGTTGATGCCTTCCTGCCCTACATGTGATTAAGGGCTCTTTCGCACAGGTGGCCATGGAGGAAAGGGGCAGTAAAAACAGGTGGCTGATCTGCTGTTACTAACCTCCAGCCACCCACCCACCTGCAATCCAACATTACAGCCTGATAGGTCTGTTCACATGCCACTGGGGCGTTGGCAACTCGGGCTGCACCGCCGACTCGATTCAAATGCTCGACTTGTAGCTGTGGCGTGGTCCCACAAAGTAACACCCCCCCCCCCCCCCCCCCCCCCAAAAAAAAGAAAAAGTAAATGAAAAACAGGTGGCGGTAACTCCTCCTGAACGCCTGTCAGCTGCTATCCTGCTCTCTACTATCTATGACTAACATGGTTTTACTTCAAAAAGTGAAGTCAGAAGCAGCCAGGCAGTCAGCATTTTTGGTAGCAGTCAGCCAGCAATGGCAGTTCCCAGGACATATCCTAAAATCATGTTTGTAGGTCCCACTCACACCGATCACTTATTCTTCTGTTTTTGCCCTACCAAAGGTGGTAGAAAAATACATAATCATTTCAATTGTGAATAAAGGCAAACTTTTTTTTTTTTTTTTTTTTTTTTTTTTAAGTTTTATGGATAAAGTGATGGATTAGAACATCTGTCAGTTTTTATTGCTGTCTGTATCCCCTGGGAGGGAGGTTCATCCTCTATATTTGTCCAGTTTTCCATTATCTTTGAAATTAAAGTAAAAGAAAATCCAAATTTTGGGTTGTCCCCAGAAAAGTATTAGAGGGAAATCTTCCAATGGGTACGCCAGTTCTGGTGACCCGGGGGTCCCCAAGGGATTCTTTTTTTATTTACAGGGATTTATTCTTTTGAATTGAAGGTGTAAATCTCCCCAATGGGATACAAGATACGAAAAAAAAAAAAAATTGGCAGGGATTATAACCCTCCCTTACTCTACCCAAAACGAAAACAAAAAGTTTTGCCTATAGTTCTACTTTAAGCCTATGGAACTCTTCACACCAGTCAGTCGCAGGCCAGTTGCATTTTTAAAAGTACCACATGCTGCATTTTTGGTGCAGAAAAAAAAAATTGCACCAAAAACTCACCTCCCCATTGAAGTTAAAAGCGCCTCAAACGCACCCACAGTTGCGTTTTTAGTTACGTGTCCATAAATGCATATGTATTTTTACCATGTTTTTGCAACAGAGCAGTGTGAAAGCAGCTGTAATCTGTTAAGAGCCGGAATCATTAGGTGTCATCACATAGCTTCTGGATTCTTTAAGAGCAGGGGTGTCAAACCTTGTTTCTTTGCGGGCTGCATCCGCATTATAGGTGCCCTCAAAGGGTTTGTATCTGTAAGTCTTTATACATTTATCCAGTGCTTTTTGTTCTCACAGTGCTGGACTCCAAGTTCAGGGGTATGCTATATACAGAGTGCAGTTTCAGATGTGCCCTACGTAAACCGTGCGGGGTTGAGGGGCGCCCTGGGCACGGGTTTGGAATTTGAGGGGCACACTGGGTTGAGTGGCGCGCTGCACACTGGGCATGGGGTTAAGTGGCATGCTGAGCGCACTGGGCATGGGGTTGAGTGGCGCACTGGCGCAGGGTTGAGTGGCGCGCCGGGTTGAGGGCGCGCTGCACACTGGCGCGCCGTGTTGAGGGCGCGCTGCACACTGGGCACGGGGTTGAGAGGCGCCACCCTGGGACTCGGGGTTGAGTGGCGCGATGGGTGCGGGGTTGAGTGGCGCACGCGCGGGGTCGAGGGGTGCACTGCACACACAGGGTGCGGGGTTTAGAGGTGCCCTGGGCACACTGGGCGCCGGGTTGAGGGCGCGCTGCAACACTGGGGCGCCGGGTTGAGGGCGCGCTGCACACTGGGCGCCGGGTTGAGGGGCGCGCTGCACACTGGGCGCCGGGTTGAGAGGCGCGCTGCACCCTGGGCCCGGGGTTGAGGGGCGCACTGGGCGCGGGGTCGAGGGTGCACTGCGCACAGGGTGTGGGGTTGAGTGGTGGCGTGGGGTTGAGGGCGCGCTGCACACTTGGCGCGATGTTGAGGGGCGCACTGGGCGCAGGGTTGAGTGGTGCGCTGGGCGCAGGGTTGAGTGGTGCGCTGCGCACTGGGCGCAGGGTTGAGTGGTGCGCTGCGCACTGGGCGCAGGGTTGAGTGGTGCGCTGCGCACTGGGCGCAGGGTTGAGGGTGGTGCACTAGGGTGCCAGGGTTGAGGGCGCGCTGTGCACTGGGTGCCAGGTTGAGGGCGCACTGCACACTGGGCGCGGGGTTGAGGGGCGCACTGGGCGCAGGGTTGAGTGGCTGCATGGGTGCATGGTTGAGTGGTGCTGCACACTGGGCGCTGGGTTGAGGGTGCGCTGTGGCACTGGGTGCCGGGTTGAGGGCGCGCTGCACACTGGGTGGGGGGTTGAGGGGTGTGCTACGTACAGAGTGCTGGATTGAGGGGCACGCTACGTTCAAAGTGCGGGGTTCAGCTCCCCTTTACAAGCTGTCCACTTCTCACTTTCCACCCCTCCTTGGCTCTGACCTCTGCCCTAATTCTCTCCAGAGCCCTCATCTCCCCTAACACAAAGGCTCGTCTAGCTTGCACGGCTCTAGTACCTAGCAGTGTAGGTGGCTCTGCCTCTCTCCCACTTGCAGGGAAATCAATGGTTGGCATCTGTGCCTCCGGGCACAGCTTACCCCCCATCCCAACCTGCATCTCCCTTGTCCCGGCTGTGAGTGCAGGGCAGGCAGGGATCTGTAAGATACCGAGAGGAAAGCTGTAAACATAGAAGGCTTCTGTGATTACTAGCGACAGGTCAGCGGAGAGCAAGAGCCAGGGGTGGCGGTATAAAGTTTCCAGTTGAAATAAAAACCCGGGGTGTCAGGGCCACATGAAATGCCCTGGTGGGCCTTTGTGTGTGACGTTTGTTTTAGAGCAAGCTGAGATCTCCGAAACCCAGTGAGTGCTACTATCCAAAAACAGATTTCATCTAGAAGCTCAGTATTTTGGTCTACCACCTTGTGCCTCCTGCTTTTGTTATTGGTCTGTTATTGAGCCTTTATGATGCACCGATGAGGGCGATGCAAAGTGCTGACTTCTCTAGTTAGCACCCCATTTCTCAGTGCCAGTCTCTTGAAGAAAGCTGACATGACATACTTTCACTTGATCTCTGTATCCTTGCAGTTCTGTTTTCTTACATAGGAGCCGCTTGTAATGAAATTATTATTATACAGGATTTATATGGCGCCAACCGTTTGCTCAGCACTTTACAATATAACGGGAGACAATACAGTTCAATACAAGAGGGTTTAGGAGGGCCCTGATCCTGTGAGCTTACAATCTAGGAGATTAACTTTTTATGTCTGCGAAGCATCATTCGACAAATGTTTATCTAATTTCTGTACCTCAGATAATTGTGGATGACGATGACAGTAAAGTGTGGTCTCTATATGACGCCGGGCCTAGGAGTGTTCGCTGCCCCAATTATATTCCTGCCGCCAGTTAGTGGGACCGCAGACGTTTTTCTTCCACCAGATTCTGGCGCTGACCGGCTGGGGCTATAGAGTCATTGCTGTGAGTATGGAGATCAGAATTCTTTTCAACTGTTCTGTTCTAATTGGTATCTTTTCCTTCCTCCTTTTCCATTGTAAGCTGTCAGGATTCTCATTCCAGTTGTTTTATGTATGTATGTTACCATCCTTTTTGTCCTTTATCATCACAAATGGAGAAGAAGACACTACAGATATGTCTATATTTGGATATTTGTGTGTTCCATATTGTAAATTTTACATGTGTCATCCCTTAACAAATATAGTCAACATCTCTGCTGAGTTAGTGGTTTTTAACCTCCCTGGCGGTATGATTATTTCAGATTTTTGGTGCTGAAAGCTGGTACCATTATTTTGCATGGAAATATGTATTTTTGTTTATCGTAGGCCTGTAATTTTTAGGAATAACTCACTGAAATCTGTCCGAACAAGAGTCTAGTAAACATCCCGGGGATGATAAAACTTGAAACACGAAATCATAAATTATACTTTAATAATCATAAAAAATAATCTAATAATAAATTTAATTCAATAATATAATCAAACCAAAGACACTGAAATTTGAAATATAGCGCCAAGTTCGCACATCGCTGAGCAAAGTTGCAGAATCGTTTTCAGTGTCTGATGAGGAATTTCCCCACGAATCATTATCACTCAATTCTGCAAGTGGTTCTGATTTACTATCGCTGTTCTCTAGCCGGTCTAATACCGATTTTGACCTAAAGGGACGCTTTTTGGACGCTATGGACTTTTCTAAGTTTCCAGGCAGAAAGAACAGTAAAAATGCAGGCAGGGCGCCGGACAAAGCACTCGGGACAAAATGTATGTGAAATGGTTTGAAACAGCAATGTTTTTACTACGTAATATTCGTCTACAAAAAAATTAAATTTTTAACATTTTTATATTTCAATAGTTTTTATTAGTTTTAATCAGCATAAAAACAGAGGCGACAAAACATGCCCCCACAGGGGCTATCAATTGCAACCAATAAGATAAAAAACATAATAATAAAAAAAAACAGTGCTCTAACTCCAACAAGGCAGAAGATACGCCCACGCAGGGGCTATCAATGGCACATAAGTTACAATAACATTAATGAAATTCTAACTGTAACTAAAGGCAGCTGTCAACTGTCACCCAAAACCTAATAGAAAAGGGTAGAAAGAAAGAGAAGTGAAAAAAAAGAAGAAAAGAAAAGGGGGGCAGGGGTCCAAGAGCGCCACCATCAAACGCCATTACATCCCCATACTAGCCAGGGGGAGTGTGGGAAAGGCATATTGCAACTATGGTTCCCATATTTTCGAAAATTTACATTGGGAGTCGTTGCATATACTCGACATCTGTTCGTTGAGCATCATAGTGGTCATACGATCCCGCACCCCCCGAAAAGGGACAAACGGACTCTTCCAGGCCTGAGCAATTGTTCTGGCGGCCGATAAAACAAATAGGACACCAACTTCTGCTGATGAGCAAGAGACCCGGTATGGGGCAATGAAGCAAGGCATACCGAGCATCCCGGCGTACGGATAGATGAAACAAAGTGAAAAGGAGACCAAATACACGAGACCAAAAACGAACCAGTCTCGGGCATGACCACCAGGTATGCAAGACATCGCCACGATGGCCACAACCCGGAAACATCGATCAGTACAAGCGGGGTTAGCCTGGGCCAAATGAGCCGGAACCCAATACCAATGAAACAATACCTTATAGGCTGCTTCCAGCGTGGTCGTATTGAACGAGCATTTAGCTATGAGTGACCAGGCCCTATTCCAGTCCTCCGGATCCACAGCCACTCCCAGGTCACGTTCCCACTGAACTACATATGAAAGAGAAGTATGCGACGGGCGTCTGTTCAGAGCTGCATAAAGAAGGGAGATGAGGCCCGGGCGCTGCTGGCAAAGCTGTTCAAAGGCATATTTCTGGTATGGAAAAGCAGAAGTGCCCCGCAGCGAGAGCAGCCAGTGCCGCAATTGAAGGTATCGAAAAAATTCCACCGGGGGGAACATCCCGGGACTCCCGAAGAAGATCCCAGGTGGGGAAGGACCGAAAAAAACCAAAAAGTGTCGCACCTGCGAGAACCCATTAGCCACCCACCAAGAGAACGCCCTTGGGTGATCTAAACCCGGTGGGAAAAGAGGGTTGTTAACAATTGGGAGCAAAGGCAGAAAGGGTGACATCAGGCCACTGGAGTAACGTACTGAGTCCCAGACTTGTAAGCCATGGAGCAACATCAGGCTCAGCGCCATAGGGCGCAGGGCAGGGGGAAGCCATAGAAGCGCCGACAGCACGATAGGGGCACAATTGGGTAGTTCCAGCAAGACCCAGAGAGAGACGTCAGAGGAAGCGTGCAACATAGACAGCGGGGCAATCTGGCTCGCCTGATACTTAGTTACATTAGGCACCCCAAGGCCACCCTGGAGTCTATGAGCAAAGAGCGTATTTCTAGATACTCTGGGGTGCTTATTGGCCCAGATGAAACTCATAAACTATTTTTAACATTTTTAAATTTGCCGCCAGTTACGGCCGCCGTACGTCCCAATGGGACTGGAACACGGAAGCTGGATGCCAGCATCAACCGGAGGACATTGCCGGGGACGCTGCAGGGGACACATCGCGGGAGCGAAGGACAAGGTAAGCGCCGCAGGACTCCCTGAGCAACGCCGCATAGTGAGCCCGAGTGTAGCTCAGGGTTACCGCTTGTGGTACTGAAATTTTACCCCGAGCTACACTCGGGAATACCGCCAGGGAGGTTAAACTAATATACTAAAGAAATAATGATTCTCCATGCTCTGTGTGGAAATTCCTTATGCAACAGTTTACATAATAGGAGAATGCGTTCTTTGTCCATGTTGTCCTACATACCAGATGATTTCCCAGATTACTGTTCTCTGCACAACAGAGTTCTGTGAGTTTCTTGAAGATACATTAGACCTTGTGCCTGTTGGCTGTGCAAAGTCTGTCAGCAGTGGATATTTTTTTTTTTTCTTTTGTCATATATAAAGTACCAACAAGTAAATACTGCAGGCTGCATACTACATCCTTATACATTGGATATATAGGGTAAGAAACAAGTCAAGGATTTTCTCGGTACCACAAGAACAAGAAACAATTTATAAAATGTCAAATTTGATTATAAAATTAAAAAAAGTTTTTAATACAACGCATAATTAAAAGCAATAGAACTTCCCTTTTTTGTTGCAACATTATTCCCTATTCTGGACGACTTGAGTCTCCTTAAAAGTGGACTCCAACCCAAGATTGTGAGTGCAAGTTAATATGCATACAGCACTTAATGGTGGACTCCACCCCAACATTGTGAGCATAAGAGAATATGTATGGAGCACTTAAAAAAAAAAAAAAAAGTGCTTTTGTTGTTTTTTGTCTTAGGAGCCTGTAAAGCATTGCATCCACAATCAGCAGATAACGGGTGCAATACCAGGTACTTGTAGACTATCAGATCTGTCTTTGATACGGGCAGGCAGTTACTGAAGTCCAGGAACTAGTGGTGCAACCGAAATGAAAATTCTGGTGCCGAAACTGATATCGAAAATTTAGAATGCATGTGGCCGAAAACTGAACCAAACCAAAATGTCTGCATATGTGGGGGTGGGAGGATCCAATAAAAAAAAAAAAAAAATTCTACTTTCATGTATATTTGTTTTTATTTATTTTTTTTTAACTTATGATTTTATTGCTATTACATAGGGGATCAATAGTCCTCTATGTGATAGCAAATGAGTGACAGGTCCTCTTTGTAGGGGGGAGAGGGTTCGGGGGAGAGGAGCAGTAGTGTATACAGTGAGGTTGCAGGGTATACAGAGAGGCTCCCTCACTGGCTGTCACTATGTCAGTGCCGGTTTTTAAATGCAATTGCAGCTTCTTTTTTTTTTTCTTCACTATAGCTCTCAGAATTAGCTGTCACTTTCCCTGGAGCTAAAGGAAACTTTGTTTCTTTTATGTCAGGAAAGAAACTAAAAGGAAACGTTGTTTCCTTTAGCTGGGGGGGGAAAATGACCGCTAATTCTGTGAGCTATAGTGAAGGAAAAAAAAAAGCCGGTAATTACATTTAAAAACCGGCACTGACCTATAGTGACAGCCAGTCACTCTGTATACACTGCTCCTCTCCTGCCTTTCTGTAATCCCCCCACCCCCTCACATCTGCAGTATACACACGGTCTCCTGTATCTGCTAAATTTTTACTATCGGTAAAAAGCAGATAGGGCTATTTTTGGCCAATATATTTTGGTGCATCCCTACCAGGAACATCAATAACCTATGAGAGTGCTCACCAGCACCCTCGTGGTTCAGTGAGTCTGCCGCAGTGGCTGACTGTAGTTGTAGTTCGTTCACTCACAGAACTCTGAATGAATGAATGACATGGCCATGTGGGCGATTCCCCACACGACTGCGCTGTTTTTTAATTGTGATAGCAGGTGTGGGGAGAAGATCCGCCACCCACTGTCACAATGGGGGATCGGGTGGAGTGGCGGCAGGTGATTTAGTAACATTTGTAATGGCTTTATGTGTTTGTGTTTTATATATTAATTAATAAAGGTTTAATAATGCAGTCAATGACCTCTGTCAATACTTTCATTTATAATGGGTTTTCTTGATATTCCAATTATTTGGGTCTGAGATGTTGAGCTAAAGCCATTTTATGTGCAGAATATTTTTGATTTTAGAGTTTCGGTGTGCTCTCCTCCCCCCTATATTTATATATATATATATATATATATATATATATATATTTACAAGATTTAAGCCTGGTAGGATCATTTTTTCCTTTTAAATTCTGTACCCTGATTTAGTAACATTTTACACCCTAAATATTTTTTCCTTTTAAATTCTGTACCCTGATTTAGTAACATGTTACACCCTAAATATCGGTGGAACATGTTACTAGAGGTGAACTTATCCTTCAGTAGCAGCTAACATAGTAGGGATTACCAAGTCCCCCCCCGTCTCAGCTACATTTCATTCTGTCAGAGCAGCATGTGATTGACCCTGCTCATAGTTCACATCCAGCTCCAGGAGGAGATATTCCACCGCCAGCACAATGACACGATCTCAAATGATCCCACAATGATACACAAACAAGTATTATGGGATTTTATTTTTTATGAACACAAAATTGAATTGAATCACAATCCTTTTTTATCAGTTTAGAGTTCTGCTTTAACTTTATTTTTCTTACCATAGTTTGTCTGTTTTCTTTTTAGCTTCAGTATCCAGTGTACTGGGATCACTTGGAGTTCTGTGATGGATTCAGAAAACTTTTGGATGATTTGCACTTAGACAAGGTCAGTTTGACTGAGGCATGCCGTATAGTAGTACACCATTGCTTAGTAACCTGTACGTACAATGATTAATAATTCCACATTGCTATTCCCATGTCTGTAACTGTCCTCTAAAACAGGCCCACTGGCCTTATCCAGCTCACAGCTGAGGTCAGTAACGTATCATCAGGGCCTACTATGCTCTCACACAGGTCTCACCAAGCCTGCAGAGGTTCTATCCTCCCCAGTCCCATTTCCCCTTGCTGCACTGTCATGGTTTTGCTTTGCCTTTTTTAAGATTCTTTGCGGTAAAAGCAAAGAAGCAATAAAAGCTTTGTAGTGTATTACCCCTGGTTCACATCTGTGCAGGTGGTGCCCCTGTGGATCCGCACAAAAATGCCGCTGCACCACCCGCACAGAGGAGTGCGGACCCACGGGTGAGTGCCATTAATTCTAATGACACGCCGCCCTCACTGGAAATCGCAACTGTACTGGGAACCGAGGTTCTCGTAGGGGTTGCATTTTCCTAAGAAGGGCAGGGACTTCTTCCCTGCGTGTCCCAGGGCACGGGAGTCCATTCAAATGAATGGGCTCTCGTGCCCGTGCAAAACGTTGCCCGCAGGAACGCGGAGAAGGGAACCTAGCCTTTAGTGCACTTTACTAAACAAAATGCTATACATACAAACTATTTTCAATTATAGGAATGAAATAGAAAACTGACAAAACATCTTCCTTTTGTGTCCACCACATGGCTGTGTTCAAGTATTTTTGTTCCCCCTTCCCCACTTCTGCCTACATCACTTCCTGTCCTGCGCTTTATGAACCAGTCCAACAAGTTAATTAGCTTACGAATAGGGGAAACCCAGCTTCTGCTTATAGTTGTGAAATAAAAATCACTAAAATAGCCAACGCAGTCATTCTCCCTGTCATTGGTTGCTAGGACTGCCAGCGTCCAAGCAACCAGTCACATGCTTGCCCATTTACAAGAGGGCTTTCTGTCCAAACCTGCTCCACCTTGCTGGTGCAGCAGTGCTGTAGTTGTAAGTTAAGGGGGGACATTGATAAGGTACCCAGATGTAGGAGGGACTCCTATTTGGACTCTGAGAAATAGAGGACCCTGATGTAAGGAGTACTTTGATTTGAGGGGGGACTATGATGAGAAAGGTACAGACCAAGTTTTTTTTTTTGTTTGACTTTTATTAACTCCTTTATGACTGCCTAGCACATGTGCGGTGGCAAAGGGATGAGCTTTAATGCTGGACGGCCCATGTATATGTGCTGAGAGGAGCCGAGAGTGCCAGCGGGGGACCCCACAAGGGGAGAACTGGAGCTACTGTGTGCAACACCATTACACAGAGCTATAACATGTTTGTTATTTAAAAAAAAAAAAAACTAAACTTCACCATCGCTTAGCAATCACTTTGCGGATGTACTCCTTACGCTCTGGGATGTATGATCGGGATGCTTCCTTTGGAACCTATATGGATATTTGGTTTTGTGATGCACTGTATTAGATCACCTGTATGTGATGCCTATTTCACTGCTAATACTTGCTTTCTTTTATCCTAATGTCTATGTGAATTAAAAAAAAATGTACTCCAGTCAGAACTGAAAAAGAAGCCTTGAAATGGAGTCTGTTTTGGATAAGTTTCTATTCAAATATTGCTGTAGTACCAGTCCACCCTGTTGCATTTTGTTATTTGATTCAGGAACTCCTTTTTTTTTTTTTTTTCTGGTTTATTAATAACGAATAGATGTAAGTCTGTTCACTGCCATCATGCAGCAGAGTCGGACACTGTGTAAGCGGCTGCCCCCTCTGCTGGGTTCCAACACGCCCCCTGTAAGTCAGAATGTAAAGTGCCCTTGTCGCAAAGTGGCACAGAAAATTCTCAAGTTTTTTTTTTTTTTTTAAGTGCTTGCTTGCAGTGTTTTTTCCTTTCCATAAATAATTTTTATTCACTTGGAATATAACTTTGAACTTGCTAGAAAATCTGACTACTACCCTAGCACAGCCCCTTCCCCAAATTGCTCATAACTTTCTCTTTCTCAGTGTGTCTAATTACTCTGTGCTTGTCCGGCTTCTGGACCCCCTTCTTTCACCTCCCTACTTAACCTTTTATGTTGCTGCCAGGGAAGGAGTGGAGAAGAATATATAGAGCAGCGGTCACTAAATGGTGGACCACGGTCCGCAAACGGCCCCAGCAGCGCTGCCGCCTGGACCGCCAGCCCACAATGACAGATCCCTTGCTGAGCAGGGCGATCGTCATGGCAACATGACGTCACGTGTGTGCCCCTTTCAGCTCACTGTCTCTCCGGCTCCCGCTCCCTGCCTGTACACAAGCATCTAGCAAGGATCCCGGCACAGCTCCTGTCTGTCCTCAAGGTAGGGTGTAGTCTTACAGGGGCACTCTGATGGGCACAAAATAGAATGTGCCCATCAACATAACATGTGCCTATCAGAGTGCCCCTACACATAACATGTGCCTATCAGAGTGCCCCTACACATAACATGTGCCTATCAGAGTGCCCCTACACATAACATGTGCCTATCAGAGTGCCCCTACACATAACATGTGCCTATCAGAGTGCCCCTTAATATAAATGTGCCCATCAGAGTGCCATTTATGTTATGTTAAGGGGCACTCTGATGGGCACAAAATGGAATGTGCCCATCAACATAACTTGTGCCCATCAGAGTGCCCCTAAACATAACATGTGCACATTAGAGTGCCCCTTAATATAAATGTGCCCACCAGAGTGCCCCTTAATATAAATGTGCCCACCAGAGTGCCCCTTAATATAAATGTGCCCACCAGAGTGCCCCTTAATATAAATGTGCCCACCAGAGTGCCCCTTAATATAAATGTGCCCACCAGAGTGCCCCTTAATATAAATGTGCCCACCAGAGTGCCCCTTAATATAAATGTGCCCACCAGAGTGCCCCTTAATATAAATGTGCCCACCAGAGTGCCCCTTAATATAAATGTGCCCACCAGAGTGCCCCTTAATATAAATGTGCCCACCAGAGTGCCGTTTATGTTATGTTAAGGGCACTCTGATGGGCACATTTTATGTTAAGGGGGCACAAATGGGCACATACTGTGGAAAGGGGCACTTTGATGGGGAAATATGATAGAAAGGGGTACTTTGATGGGGAAATATGATAGAAAGGGGTACTTTGATGGGGAAATATGATAGAAAGGGGTACTTTGAGTGTAAGGGGGTACTCTGGCAGGAATACCTTTTGTAAGGTGGCAATGTGATGGGGATACCTGATGTAAAGGGGCACTCTGATGGCGACACCTGATGTGATGGGAATACCTGATGTAAAGCTGCACTCTGATGGCGACACCCAATGTAAGGGGGAACACTGATGGGCACATCCTAATCTGACCTTGGCCAGAAGGAAATTTTAGTGACCGGACCTCCTTGAATTTTAATTCAATACCCTTGATATAGAGGATCTCTTGAGTGACCACTGAGGATCCGCTGGGGCTGATGACATCCCATCCAAGGCGGCGCCCAATAGCAGTCTCAAGGGTCCCTAAAATAAATTAAATGTAGATATTCTTACGGGAATATTTTTATTGAAATGAAGGGTCTGGCAATACGGTCTCTTTAACAGCTTGCCCACCCGCCCATGATAGTTGTACTGGCAGCTCCAGGCCAGGCGATGTACCTGTAAGTCACAGCCTGTCTTCCAGGTTCAGGGCACACATGCGCACGCCCTCAGCCAACCTGTCCTGTATTTGGACACCAAATAGGTTTTGGCAACTGATGTCAGCCAACGATTTTGGCTGAAATCGGCTGTGCAATCGCACTTATCCACGCACGCATGAGGAAACTCCAATGCACAGGCGCATCAACATTTACACGCATACATCCAGGTGCAGAATAGCAGCTGGAATATTATTAGGGTGCGCACATTCTCAGACGCGTGCGTGAGGCCTTATAGCTAGTATTAACCCTGGTTTGATCAATCTAATGCTTTATCCAGCAGAGATCTAGGAGCTGAATATTTAGAGTGAAAATATTGGTGAAGTTTAGAATATTTGCTTGTTTTTTGTTTTGTTTTTTTCATTTGGAACTAATTGGATTGTGTATGGCTAGGTTCACCTGTTTGGAGCGTCTCTTGGTGGTTTTCTGGCCCAGAAGTTTGCAGAATACACACACAAGTCTCCTAGAGTTCAGTCCCTCATCCTGTGTAATTCCTTTAGTGACACATCCATCTTCAACCAGACCTGGACAGCAAATGGGTGAGTGTAGAGCACATCCCTGCCTGTCTGACTCTAAATGTATGTAATAGGTATGTTTTTATTAAAAGATGTATAATTTGAGATAATTGGCATTACATCTTGCTGACACATCCAGCTGATGTTTTTTGGGGCACACACACCCCTCCTTTTTTTTTTTTTTTTTTTTTTTTTTCGTGGCCTTCAGACGTTTAGGAACTTTAAAAGCATCACTTAAGCCAGCTATAGATGGATCGAATCTTGGCCAGTTCAGCAGGGGCTGGCCAAATTTCGATCCATCTATGGGCAGGCTGGTTGTACTTACGTTGATCCAATGATCGACTTGGTTACTATTATTATTATTTATTTCAGGTACTTATATAGCGCTGTCAATTTACACAGCGCTTTACATATATATTGTACATTCACATCAGTCCCTAACCCTCAGGGGGCATACAATCTAAGGTCCCCAACTTACATCCATACACATATGAGGGCCAATTTAGACAGGATCCAATTAACCTACCAGCATGTCTTTGGCGTGTGGAAGGAAACTGGAGTACCCAGAGGAAACCCACGCAGGCACAGGGAGAACATGCAAGCTCCAGGCAAGTGGTGCCATGGTTGGGATTTGAACTAACGACCCGAGTACTGCCAGGCGGAAGTGCTAACCACTTAGCCACTGTGCTGCCCCATCAGCCAGTCTGATTTCTTTTACATGCGATTACTGCCACTGGCTATAGCTGCTAGCAGCTATCATTGTGTTCTGCTGCCTGAGAAGGCTCCCCCCTCCCGGCAGAACACAATAGCACTGCAGGAGAGATTCCCCCATTAACACAGACTGTGTTGGAGGAATCGTGCTGTTTTGTTTCCTTCCACCGGAGCTCCAGTCAAACAAAAAAATAAGTCAGTAGCTATAAAACTGCAGCAGTTGACATTTAGAAAGCAGCCACTCACCCGTCCCACGATCCAGCGGTGTCCCCACTGCAGCCGGTTTCATCAGCTGTCCTTGCTCCCCATGCCAGGATCTTCAGTGTGGGCACCCGACTGTGACATCTTATGACTTCACAGCTGGGTGCCCACTGGACATGCGCAAGTAGCGCACTGTGCCTTGTGAATGGTCCCGTAGTCTTCTGGGACCTGTCCCATTGGACTACGAGGAGGGGGGAGGACAAATGTTGATTTCGGATTCCCCCCGCTACCTCTCAAAGGTGCCAATTACCCAAAGGGAGCAGGGGACCAGTACTTAAAGCGGAAGTTCCCCTTTTTGGGTGGAGCTTCGCTTTAATGATTTTGTAGATTAAAGGATGTTCTGCCCCCCACCCCTGACTGTGTTATAATAATATCATCAGATTATGCATTTTAGCATTGCAAAGCATGAGCTACTACAGTGGTGTCTTTGCCCTTTTTGCTCTAAAGATGTTTTGTGTTTTGCAGCTTTTGGCTCATGCCTTCATTCATGCTCAAGAAGATCCTTTTAGGAAACTTTTCATCTGGCCCAGTGGATCCAGTTATGGCTGATGCCATTGATTTCATGGTGGATCGGGTATGAATACATTTTTCTTTTTTTTAGGATTCTGTTGCGGTCTTTCTTGGCATAATTTGCATGTGATATGAATTGTTCATTTGTCACAATATAATCCCTGGCATTTATAAAGATTGGCACAGACAGATTTTGCAAAAAGTGTCTCGCGAGCATGTCATGCGCCAAATTCATGTACCTGTGTAGAACTTGTACTTGAATTGAACACAACCAAAACTTGCATATGTTTTTGAAATAGGAGCAACACATTATCAAGAGCAAATAATGCCAGAAAAGTGGTGCAGCAGCTTTATAGAGTTCCCCGCCAGAGTTTACCTTAGTTTGGAGAATGATGGCTGAGGTTTGCACTAATAAACCGAAGAAGTCTAATCTGTTTGAAGTTTCAAAACAGAGCTATGAGTTGCATGCCCTTTCAAAAATATGTGGGCGCGTCATTCAGAGTACCAGCAGATGGACAATACAGTATGGAAGGAATATGCGACTGAAACAAGACTATTGCCAAGAAATGATTACAAAAATGTCTTCCTCGTATCAAACTTGCACTGCAGGTGTTTAATAGCTCATCTTCCTTAGGGGAGAGGAGAAACTTACTGATTCTCTGCTCCACTTGCAGGTGGTGCTCCATAATGATCCAGCCATGGACTGTCCCTTAGCGTCCTCGTGTCCTGTGCAGGGTTATGGACATTTTCATTTGTCTTCCTCCATCTCCTCCATGAGAGCACGATCCCAACGATATACCCAGTACGGGCTCCCCAGAGGAACTTTTTACTATACAGCTCATAGTTGGTCTGGCTGAACCAAGACAAAAGTCCATCCAGTTCAACCATTAGAAAAAAAAGTTATCCTATACCCACAGTTAATCCAGAGGAAGACAAAAAACCCCCAGCAAAGCACGATCCAATTTGCTCCTGCAGGGAAAAAATTCCTTCCAGATCCCCGAGAGGCAATCATATATTCCCTGGATCAACTTTATAAATGTTATATCCAGATATATTCTGTGTATCTAGGAAAGAATCCAGGACTTTTTTTTTAAAGCAATCCACTGAGCTGGCCACAACCAACTCTTCAGGGAGTCAATTCCACATTTTCACAGCTCTCACTGTGAAGTAACCTTTCCGTATTTGGAGATTAAATGTACTTTCCTCCAGACGTAAAGCGCGCCCCCTTGTCCTCTGTGATGACCTCAGGGTCAGCTCATTTGTAGTGACCACTTGCTGACAGGCCATAAATTTACATCCAGTGGTGTCCTCACCATGTAAGGCAAGTATGCTTGTCACACTTGCACATTATGGCACACTTACCTTGCTATCTGAACAAAAAAATGGCAACCACCCCAACCTATAACTAGTCTTTGCAGCAAGGTGCACATAGAATGGCAACACACATTTCCCAGCTCACTTACCAGCCAGTCTGCAAAACCACTTAAATACAAAGGGTTTTGTTTGCACACATTTCCAAATTTTTAGATGGGGCCAATTTTGGTTGTATTGCTGATTGGCTGGTATGTGTGCTGGGAAATCTTTTCTTTTGTGATGTGTGCTGTTGTTGTATGTGCACCTTGCTGCAAAGGCTTGTTATGGGTTGGGGTGGTTGCCATTTTTTTTTTTTTGTACAGTTGGTTTGAGTGCAGGGAAGCACTGATTGCCTTCTTTGCCATTGTGCTTTTGCTGGGCATCACGTACATCCCTGTGCCTTTTTTAAGTAGGGGTGGTCTCCCTCCAGGCACACCTGTCCTTAACCTTACCATTGTTATATGTGCTCCTACTATGGAGGCTCTGGAAATTTTTAGAGTTAGGATCTCAGTATATGCAGAGGTTCCTTGTCGTGCGCTCTGCAGCTTATGCATATATTTTGCAACTGTGTGCAAACACAACCCTCTTTTTTAATGTAAATTGTTACGGCCAATTTGGTGGTTTTGCAGGCTGGCTGGTAAGTGTGCTGGGAAATATTTTGTTTGAATGTGACTTACCCTCCTAGGCAACCCTCCTCCATTGGCGACACGTCAAGGATCCAGTCTCTGCTGTGTCTTACACCCGAGCCATCTATCCCGCTGCTTCTTTGCGTGTCCCTTTTGGCATAAAACTGACTTCCAGCTATTTTATACAGTGGCAGGGCTTTAAGTAGAACTGTAGATGAATCAAACTGATACAGTCATTGTTCATATTACTCTGTCCATCTGTCAATACAAGCAAAGTGCCACTACTTACTTCCAAAAATTCTTCTGTTACATTGATTTGTCATTTCCTTCTGTGAAGTTGCAACTATCACACTCCCCTCAAATGGACTGTAGTCACTGCGCGCGTCTGCAGCTTGACACGTGAGGTCTGGTGTCATGTGGTGCAAAGCCTCAGCGATACAACCCATTCCCCACTCTCATCCAGCAGAGCATGGAGACGTGTATGGATGTGGGAAATTGCTTTGTATATTGAAAATGAATTACCGTATTTTTTGCTCCGTAAGACACACTCCCCCCCATAAAATGGGGGGAAATGTCATCTGTGGTGCGTCCAGCCCAGTATTCCCCCCGCCGCTGCCGCCGCCGTGTTAGAATACCCGGCCGGCCGCTCTGCTCTTCTGTGCAGCAGAACCTGCTCATCGATCCTACCTGTTCCTTGGTCCACCATTGTGCCCACTGCGCATGCGCGAGAATCGCTGCGCTTTGTGAGTGGCCTCGTCTTCTGGGACCTGTCACATGTCCCAGAGGACAACAGGGAGGGAAGGAGGACAACTTCCGGAGCGGAAGTGGGAGCGAGTACCTGTCAAATTTGGTTATCCACTAACCAAAGGTCTGCAGTCTCTGGTCATCTCCTGTACTGTGTCCGCAGTCTCTGGTCATCTCCTGTACTGTGTCCGCAGTCTCTGGTCATCTCCTGTACTGTGTCCGCAGTCTCTGGTCATCTCCTGTACTGTGTCCGCAGTCTCTGGTCATCTCCTGTACTGTGTCCGCAGTCTCTGGTCATCTCCTGTACTGTGTCCGCAGTCTCTGGTCATCTCCTGTACTGTGTCCGCAGTCTCTGGTCATCTCCTGTACTGTGTCCGCAGTCTCTGGTCATCTCCTGTACTGTGTCCGCAGTCTCTGGTCATCTCCTGTACTGTGTCCGCAGTCTCTGGTCATCTCCTGTACTGTGTCCGCAGTCTCTGGTCATCTCCTGTACTGTGTCCGCAGTCTCTGGTCATCTCCTGTACTGTGTCCGCAGTCTCTGGTCATCTCCTGTACTGTGTCCGCAGTCTCTGGTCATCTCCTGTACTGTGTCCGCAGTCTCTGGTCATCTCCTGTACTGTGTCCGCAGTCTCTGGTCATCTCCTGTACTGTGTCCGCGCTCTCTGGTCATCTCCTGTACTGTGTCCGCGCTCTCTGGTCATCTCCTGTACTGTGTCCGCGCTCTCTGGTCATCTCCTGTACTGTGTCCGCGCTCTCTGGTCATCTCCTGTACTGTGTCCGCGCTCTCTGGTCATCTCCTGTACTGTGTCTGCAGTCTATTGGTTCAGAGTATTTTTTTTTCGGTGTTTTCCTTCTCTAAAACCTAGGTGCGTCTTATGGTCAGGTGTGTCTTATGGAGCGAAAAATACGGTACATAGCGTTTTCAGTTTGTAGTGCTCAGATACAGATTTTAGTTCTGCTTTAAGTGGCTGACTCTGCCTGCTTTTGAATTACCGTCCTGTAATGCACTTTAAAAAAAAATTAAAAATACTGTCTACATAGCATTATTGTCTAATTAGGCAAGTCACTGGATCTAGCTGACCTGTGTATGAAGGTATTGCTGTTTCTTTTATAGTTGGAAAGCTTGAATCAAAGTGAGCTGGCATCTCGTCTCACCCTGAACTGTCAGAACTCTTATGTGGAGCCACACAAAATCCGGGACATTGCTGTCACCATAATGGATGTAAGTGTATGCTGTCTGTCTGATCATCCGTGTTCCCTGGAGTCCCCACTGGCCACAACTTGTGTGCATAATTTATATTCCTAAACGATGTCTTCCTTGGATTCAGATGGCTTCTAGATTTCTGTTGCTTCTAAATTCTGCTGTGTTCTGTAAGGCCTGCTCTGGTTTCAATAAAATGTCAAGGTTTTCCACCAATAGTTCCCATTCAGGTAAACTTGAAATACAGAAAAATATAATTGTCTGTACAATCCTCATTATTGAAGATTTATTTATTTATTTCAGGTACTTATATAGCGCCATCAATTTACGCAGCGCTTTACATATATATTGTACATTCACATCAGTCCCTAACCCTCAAGGGGTGTACAATCTAAGGTCCCTAACCCTCAAGGGGCGTACAATCTAAGGTCCCTAACCCTCAAGGGGCGTACAATCTAAGTTCCCTAACCCTCAAGGGGCGTACAATCTAAGGTCCCTAACCCTCAAGGGGCGTACAATCTAAGGTCCCTAACCCTCAAGGGGCGTACAATCTAAGGTCCCTAACCCTCAAGGGGCGTACAATCTAAGGTCCCTAACTCACATTCATACATACACATACTAGGGACAATTTAGACAGGAGCCAATTAACCTACCAGCATGTCTTTTAGTGTCTGGGAGGAAACTGGAGTACCCGGAGGAAACCCACGCAGGCACAGGGAGAACATGCAAACTCCAGGCAGGTGGTGCCATGGTTGAGATTTAAACAAACGACCCGAGTACTGCAAGGCGGGAGTTTCTAACCATTTAGCCACTGTGCTGCCCGAAGATCGAAACACTCACTGTCTTTGAAGAATATTGGGTTGATTTACGAAAGGCGAATATACTGTGCAGTTGACAAATGCAGTTGCACTCTGCAACTGCATTTGCCCTAGAGCTTAGTAAATCTAGGGTAATCTTTGCAAAGTGAACCTTTAGCTCAACTACATGCAAGGAAAATCAAAAACAGCATTGCACATGATTGGATGATGGAAGTCAGCAGAGCTTCCCTTCATTGATTAAGCTCTGGAGTAACTGCACATGCAGAGTGCAGTCTATTTGCCTTCAGTAAATCAGCCCCCTGGTGTCATTTTCTGATTTTCTGTTCTGTATATTAATACATTATCTGGTAAAATATATTCCTTTGTTAACCACTGGCACTGATAGGTGACACTGAAAGGCAGCGCAGATGGGCACTGATATGTGGCACTGATGGGCACTGGCAGGTGGCATTGATGGACACTGACAGGTGGCACTGCTGGAGCTACACTGATCATCAGGGCACACTGATGATCAGTGTAGATGTCCCCTCCGATGAATGCCGATTACCGGCTCTCCTCTCCTCTGTCAGAGTGACAGCTCATGAGTTGAGAAATGCCGATAACCGGCATTTCCCTATTCACATGCGATCAGGTGTGATTGGACACAGCTGATCACATGACCGAGCCGACATCTTCGGCTCTTTCCGTTGATCGGTGATCCGCTGTGTCCGAGGGACACAGCGCACCACCGATCGCCGCGCTGCACGCTCCTGGAGCCGCGCATGTGCTGTTAGAGTGGGAGGATGTCATGTGATGTCCTCCCAGAACGAGAGAGAACCGCCTTGCGCCCGTCATTCCCTTATATGGCGGGCGGGAGGCGGTTAAAGTAAAATGTATTTTTATAACTGGCATTTCACAGTTTGCATGAAATCAGAACCTTTTACAATATGGGGATGTTTTTTGCCCCAGCAATAAATATGTATGGACCTTTGTCACCGTGTGTCTGATAAACTGCATGCTGGTTTAAATGACATTCCTTTTCTGACAGGTATTTGATCAAAGCGCTCTTTCAACGGACGCCAAGGAAGAGATGTACAAGTTGTATCCTAACGCAAGGAGAGCTCACCTGAAAACTGGAGGCAACTTCCCCTACTTATGCAGAAGTGCCGAGGTCAATCTCTACGTACAGGTAAGCACATGTCCATACATCCAGCCGTGTAATTGTACTGTATATCTCGGTAGAGACTGGAAGCCTGTACATGATTTATTTTGGTAACAATCGATTCTTTTGTTGGTACATGACCCAGTTTGAGTAATTGCTACATTTGTTCTTTACACCATTGTAAGCAGCTCATTCGGATTTCCGTGATATCTGGGGAAATCTGTTCTTAGCCTTCCAGACAACTATGTGTATTTTATCATCTTTAACGAAAGCTCTCGGTTTTGTATATCTGAAAATCAGCTTTAACTTTGCCTTTGCTTTATAGGTATACTTGTGTGAACGTAGTAATCTGCATATAGAGAGTGGGTGTAGAAAAAATATTCAATCTCCCAAGATATTAACCATTAGCCGCCCGGCCAATGGCCGTTTGGCGGCTTCAGAAGTGTCTCTTCACTCCGGGTGCACGCCATTTGGCGTGCTCCCGCACATGCGCCGTTTGCGCTAATGCAGAGCGGCGCAGCAGTGCGATCTGTCACCGGCCGTGCACCTCGGACACAGCCGATGACAGATCCGAGTACCGGCTCCCGTTGCTGGTACCATGTGACCTGCTGTGACCAATCACAGCCGGTCACATGACAGTTGTATACTATGGATGGCTTCATTCATGATGCCATCCATTGTATACTAGTGCCTAGCTGTGAATGGTCAAAGCTAATCACATGCACATGTCATGTGATTAGCTGTGACCAAATCACAGCTAAGCACAAAAAAAAAAAAAAAAAAAAAAAAATGAATCGATTTTCATTCAGGTAAATGCTTGCTTATAGCAAAGTAATTCTTTGCTATAAGCAAATTGTGTAAAAAAAAAAAAAATAACTGATCACTTCCCCAAAAAATCTTAAAAAAAATGTAATAAAAGATTAAATAGAATAAAAAAATTAAATATATATATTTTTTTTTTTTTTCATACTGTCACCAGTCAGTGTCCCTGTTCACCGCCATGCCAGTTATATGATGACGCTGTACTGCACTGGTGACAGTATGTAAAAAAATAAAAAAATAGTGAAAATAATTTTTTTAATTTTTTAATTTTCCAAAAAATTATGACAAAAAAATACAACTTCAAAAAACTCGCCATGCCTCTTATGAAGTACGTCGGACTGTCTACTCTGCTAAAAAAAGGGTCATTTGGGGATATCTGTACTATTCTGACATTTGGGGGATATCTGTACCGTCCTGACATTTGGGGATATCTGTACTATTCTGAACATTCTTGGACCTCAAGAAATTAGATTGGCCGTCAGTACTTCAGGATTGATCAATATTCAGATCTATACCATAGTTTGTGAACTCTATAACTTTCCTACAAACTAAAAAAATACATCCTAATTTGGGTTATTTTCACCAAAGACATGTAGCAGAATACATCTCGGCCTAAATTTATGAAGAACAATTATTTATTTGTAAACTTTTATAACAGAAACAAAGAAAAATGTGTGGTTTTTTTTCAAAATTTTTGGTCTTTTTTTGTTAATTTAGCAAAAAATAAAAACCCCATCGGTGATTAAATACCACCAAAAGAAAGCTCTAGTTGTGTGAAGAAAATGATAAAATTTTAGTTTGGGTACAATGTTGTATGACCGCGCAATTGTCATTCAAAGTGTGAGAGCGCTGAAACCTGAAAAATGGCCTGGGCAGGAAGGTGTAAAATTGCACGGTATTGAAACGGTTAAAAGTGGAAGCTCCACTTATTTGCCTCCTCCACTGCCATTTTAGGCACCTTTTGGGGGGAAGGGGGGAGCGGATACATATTTTTGACAGGTACCCACTCCCACTTCTGGCTCAGTTTGCCACATAGAAGTTCTCCTTCCTCCTGCAGTCTCCTGGGAACCTTCACAGGGCCCAGAAAATTACCAGACCAATGAGAATGCGCTGCGCGATTTGCACATGCTCAGTGGGCACCCTCAAGCTGCCACAGCCTGATGCCCACAGTTGTGATCCCAGGGAGAGCAGAGGCAGAGAAGGGACAGCGCGGGTAAGTACATTGCTGGACCCTGGGACAGGTAAGTGTGTGTTTTTATTAAAGTCAGCAGCAGTTTTTGTAGCTGCTGTCTTTTAATAAACACAGAACTGACTGGAACTCTGCTTTAAGTAATGGCACTTAATGGTTTCCTGACATACAGTACTTGCAGCAGTTTAGAAAAACTTAAAGGGAAACTAAAGGCAAAACTTTTTTCTTCTTTTTTTTTTTTTTTTTTTTTTTCATTTTGGATTGAGTAATGGAGGGCTATAACCCCTAAAGAATGAAGAAAAAAAATACATATATATCGAAAAGGGGAGGGATACAATACAAGAGGTGCCACCATCCCTGAAAACGTACAGTGGAGAGGTCCTCTTGTTGATGGACTTTAAAGGGACAGGTTTATAAAAAAAAAATAAACGTATAGGTCAACAGTTAAAAAATAACAATCAATTTTTATTTTATACAATCTTAAAAAAGACATACAAATTGCGATACAAAGTGTGGCGGTATTATCAAAAGCAGACGCTTTTCGAGACCAATCACATTCTCTTCTTCAGAATTGCTCAAAAGGCATGAAGCCTGCAATAAACAAACATACATATCAGTATATATCTTTATACATAGGAATTTTCATAATGTATTTAACTTGGAGTGTAATTGAACCCTTACATAGGCCCATGTAGGGGCAGAAAAATGGAAAAGAACTGCCAGGGGATTAAAAGACATCAGTTTCCATGGATGCAGCTAAAGATTTCATGAGCCTCTAACAGCAATGATGAACAGAAAACACAGGGAAGAAAGGTTGGAAAATGATAGCTGACGCTCAAACGTCTCCTGGAGGGGCCCCGCCCAACCATACCAGTGGCAGACCGGGTGTTGGTCTGCACATTGATACTGATAAGGTGGTGCTGTGTAAAATAGATGATGACACATGTAAGTATTAATAGTGAGGATATGCCAACAAGAGTGAAACATGACTAAACGGTTTTGAGAGAGAGAGAGAGACCCCACTTCTGGATTGTTTGCCTGTAATAAGTAAAAACAATGGCAAAAATATTCAAAAAGGTTCAAGGATTAAACACCCAGCACTTATAGTCACTACTGTGCCTTTAATTGTATCACTGAAATTGTCCAGCAGAATTGTGTAAGTCATATCATACCCAGTTGCTGTGATGTGTAGGCATCAAGGCTGCATCAGCCATGTGCTGACTTGTTAGCCATTTTATATATCTCTCTTCAAATTGCATGCGATTCTTTGAATTGCCATTTGAGCCCATTCATTTTGTATGGGATCAAATCGCACCGCAAAGGGTATTGGGAGCATTAGAACGAGTGCAACTATTTCTCTCTCTCTCTCTCTCTCTCTGTGTCTCTCTCTCTCTCTATCTATCTATCTATATCTCTTATATATATCTTATCTATATATATCTATCTATATTTTCTATTATCTATTTTATATCTATCTATATATATCTATATATATATATCTATCTATATATATATATATATATATATATAAATTTTATATATATCTATATATATATATCTCCAAGCCCCAATGGGCGGGTGAAACACGTCGGTGGGGGCATGGCTAGAACAGTGCTGAGGCCACTTGGAACATAATTTTGTAACCACTTGCCTACCGCAGGTAGCCGAATGACGGCTGCACTGCGGCCGGCGAGTTCTTGGAGACCTTCATATGAAGTCCTCCCAGAATGCGCTCTGCTGTGCGGCAATCTCCGTGATTGCTGTGTGCTACTGATCACGTGACAGCTGATCACGTGATGTGGTAAAAGGCCAATCACAGCGGCCTTTTACCACGTGATCAGCCATGTCCAATGACACGCTGATCACCGGGAAATGCAATTGCCGCTTCTCGGCTGCACTTTCCTCACGCTGTCAGATGATCGGTGCCCAGCAGTGCCACTCACCAGTGTCGCCCACCATTGCCAGTCAGTTTTGCCCAGTAGTGCCGCCAGTCAGAGCCCAGCAGTGCTGCCTATCAGTGCCGACTATCCGTACCCATCATCAGTGCCACCTCATTAGTAGCACCCATCAGTGCCGCCTATAAGTGCAGCCTCATCAACGCACATCAGGGAAGGAGAAAAAGTACCTGTTTGCAAAATTTTATAATCGAAACAAAGAAACTTTTTTTTTTTTTTTTTTAATCTATTTTTTTGTTTATAGCGCAAAAAATAAAACACCCAGCGGTGACTTAATACCACCAAAAGAAAGCTCTATTTGTGAGCAAAAAAAATGATTAAAATTTCATGAGTACAATGTTGCATGACCGTGCAATTGTCATTCAAAGTGCGACAGCGCGGAAAGCTGAAAATTGGCCTGGGAAGGAAGGGGGTATAAGTGCTCGGTAGGCAGGAAGGGGGTAGAAGTGCCCTGTAGGCAGGAAGGGGGGGTAGGGGGTATAAGGGGGTATAATTTGTGCTCGGTAGGCGAGGGGTTAAACAATGATTTGGATCTGAAATCCTTTTTCTTAATTTGTCTTGCAGATTCACCTACGGCAGTTCCATGGCACCAGATATGCAGCGATAGATCCAACTATGGTGAGCGCTGAGGAACTGGATGTACAGAAAGGCAACATTCAGCCTAGTGAAGAGACACAGGAGACGGAAGCTTCACCCTAAACTCTGGAAATGTACTATTCTATTCTGTATCTGCAGATTGCCAGCAGACTGACTGCCAAATGATTCCACTGATATTTTTTTTTTTTTTTCCTGGTGGGAATTTACAGAACTCTAATGAAAAAACTAACACACCAACCCCCTTTTGCAGTATATTGGACCTTTTTGTATTGGGGGCATTATCTGGTTTCTGCTGCTGGAAAGACTGCCCATAGAAACAAGGGGATGATTCAGACTCTGCTGGAAGAGAACATTGCTGGTCATCGATGACCATGGTCTGCGAAGGGTTCAAGCTCCAGTGTTTCGGGAGCAGAGATGGCCATACAGACTCTTATTGGTCTCTCTGTGTATAAGGGTACTGGATTAATCTGTGAACATATCTAAAACCTGGGATCTGTAGGGTAAATATGATGGAACTAAGCATGAGTTTATAATAATGACTGAAGTATTTAACGGGAACCTGTTGGAATGGAAATATAGGAGCTGCTAGTGCTGACTGGTTTTTTAAGCTTCATTTTCCAGGTCTGGCATTCTTATTCTTGCTTTACCTAATGTGGTTGTAAACCTTTTACATATGCCAACCAATCCTCCTACATAAGTTGTACCTGTTTTTCTAGTGCAGTCTCTATCCCCTACATCATGGGTGTCAAACTGACGGCCCTCCAGCTGTTGCAAAACTACAAGTCCCATGAGGCATTGCAAGATTGACAATTACAAGTTTGACTCCCAAAGGCAGAGGTAGTTTTGCAACAGCTGGAGGGCTGCCAGTTTGACACCTCTGCCCTACATCCATTCGAAGTGCAGAATTTTACACAGGATATCTCAGCTCTGAAAAGCAGGGGGGAGGAGGAGCTGAAGTTACACTCAGTAAGGAGAGCTGATTGGAGGGAAGTGACACCCCCCCCCCCCCCTTTCACACTGCACACAGGAACAGAGCTGTGGCTGTCAATCACAGGCTGTGCCCTCCCTGTCACCATTTTTTTCGTTTGGTGTTAGGAAAACTCATCGGAAGTGACTCATGCTGATTGAGGTTTGTTGTGGTGTTTGTTTGTGTGGTGTGTGTGTGTGTATGTATGTATGTGTGTATATATATATATTTATATATATATATATTATGTATAAATAAATTGTTTTGTGTGTGTTTTTTATGTGTGTGTGTGTGTGTTAATCACACAATTGTGAAGAAAGGATAAGAATGACGGCTCCGGAATGTACGTCTTTTTTTTAACAAGTCAGCAGTTGCAGCTGCCAAATCTCTATTCCAATGTTCCTTTTTTTTTTTTTTTTCCTTTAAGGAGTGTGTTCTTTTGGACCAGTGGACCAGTTTCAAGGCTATGGCATAGTACATAACTTGCACTGAAATAATTCATTTTCATTATTAATTTACATTTTGCAGCATTTTTATAGCCGTACAAAAGACCTGTCATGAAATGTAGTCAATCATGTGACAATCCATGGAGTAATGTGTATGTATTTGAATTTTCAGCCACATGACATAATTGGCCATTGGCAATAGAGAGCGTTCACCCCATCTAGACTGAGCAGGCCATGGTATATCAGGAAGAGATTGTTGTATAAAATTGTATATTTAAAACTTTGCTAATCAGTAACACGTCCCAGATGGGAGCCGAGGCTTCGGGACACTCAGAAATTCATACAGGTTCAGTGCCTTATTTTTTCATGTCGTGTGTCTATATTTTGTATGGAGTGCTCTTGTCTGGTTTAGCTGTACGTTGTTTTTGCCACACTTGTGATCGTTCCGTATTGTATTTTACTCTTCCTTCTTCTCTTTGATAATTTTGAAGTGCCAATATGCAATCAATCTGCAATGCTGGGCTCTCCTTTCTATTCTTCCATGATTCTTGATTTGCAGAAACCTTTTCAAGTATTACGTATACTGTACAATTTTGATAGTCTGATTTTGTTTTTGGTAGTTTGGAATAAAATAGAGCTAGTGTCATGACAGAGTTTAAAGTTTAACTTGCTAGAAACTGGGTGAAAGTTTGTTGAATCCGATGATGACAGTGATGAGTTTACAGAGCATGACATGGGGAGTGCTGTCACTTGTCACTAAGGCTCTTACAGAAAAGGTTAGCAAGGAAAGTCATGTGATTCAATGAACAGATCTCTTTTTTTCCAGGAAATACTGCCACTATGCTAAAGTCGAAACATTCACTACACTTATATAAAACAGAACTGGATTCCTATAGTACAGGGGTCTCCAAACCTTCTAAACAAAGGGGCGATTTATTGTCCTTCAGAATTTAGGGGGGGGGCGGACTGTGGCCAGTGGGAATAGGAATTGCCCTGTTGTCAGTGGGAGTAAACAATGCATCTTTGCTATCAGTGGGATGAATAGTGCTCCATCATTTGTGTCAGTGGTAGTAGTAGTACCCCATCATTGGTATTAGTGGGAGGAATAGTGCCCCATCATTGGTATCAGTGGGAGGAATAGTGCCCCATCATTGGTATCAGTGGGAGGAATAGTACCCCATCATTGGTATTAGTGGGGAGGAATAGAGCCCCATCATTGGCATCAGTGGGATGAATAGTGCCCTATCATTGGCGTCGGTGGGAGAAATGGCTTCCCCATCGTTGGCGTCGGTGGGAGGAATGGCTCCCCCATCGTTGGCGTCAGTGGGAGAGGAATGGCTCCCCCATCGTTGGCGTCGGTGGGAGGAATGGCTCCCCCATCGTTGGCGTCGGTGGGAGGAATGGCTCCCCCATCGTTGGCGTCGGTGGGAGGAATGGCTCCCCCATCGTTGGCGTCGGTGGGAGGAATAGCTCCCCATCCTTGGTATCAGTGGAGGAATTATGCCCACCAACAAGGTGTCCTCAGAAGGAATATTGGCTTGAGGAATAGTTTTCAAAGAACCAGCTAAAGACAAACAAAGGCCTGCAGTTTGGAAACCAGTGCTCTAGAGCAGGCATTCACAATTAGGGTTTTGTGGAACCCTAGGGTAGTTAGGGGTTTCCTAAGGTGTGGCTTACTGACCTCCCATGTGATGGTGCCTGCTTAGTTCTAAGTTCACCACTTGCAGTCATGCCACTGTCTCTGCCAAGAGTGTAATTCTGGCCTCTCCTGTAGGGGTGGGGGATGTATATTTGCAACTTGCCACCAAATGTAAGGCGAATTTTCACAATAGCCCCTGATGAACTAATCTTATTAGGAGTCCCTTGAGGCCTGAAAATTAAAAGTTCCTCTGGGGTAAAAAAAATGGGAAAGGCTGCTCTAGAGAAATACATCCCAACTACATAGCTCCTTTTGCCAAATTTATCTGATTGTTTTTTTTCTACTTCATACACCCACATACTGCACTGATAGCTACTCTGTTGAAAAATGTACCTGAAAGCCAGTCTAAGTAGGGGGAATTCATTACATTGCTGTCCGTAGTTACTGTAATTTTCCTTCCCTGGGGTGGGCGGCTCATCATGTCAGCCTAGTACAAGTTGCCTCTGTGCTCACCATCCCTTATGACACCTCCCAAAAAGAATCACATTTAGGGAAGTCTCACCCCCACACCCATTCCTGGACCTTGAGACAGAACACTTGGAGGAAATCCTAGGAGGACATGATGAGCCACCATGAAAGGAACATTACTGTAGGTTTGAACAATCATGTTATGAATTACTGGTCTCGGCCTAATATAGAAAGTAGATGGCATAAGAAAAAAATAAAAAAATTTGAAATTTTAATTACAGCAGTAACATGACTTGGATAAAACCTCAGCAAGTACTGATGCTTCAAAAGACCGAGAGGGGACTGTAGGACACATCAAGAGGATGCAGGTGTTAGAGGCACTTCCAGCTAGCATTATTATAGACCTCATCTACATGGGCTTTGGAGCAACTTCCCCATAAAGATGCTGCCCACCTCATGGAGTGCACAGGCATCTCTTCCGGTGGGGTAAGATCTGAAGTCTTTTATGCCTTTCTAATTGTTTGAACTATCCCTGTTGCTTCTTAACACTTTCTGGTCCTTTCTGGAAGAGAACAAAGAGATTGTGAAGCACTCCAAGTAGAAATGACTTGGACCGAATCCAATCATGTCCAACCGTCTGGAGGGGGAGGTAGCAGAAATGAAAGTGGGCAGAAACAGGCAGTTGAAGTGAAAGGTGTTGCTATCTTTTGGGGAAAAAAGGCTGAAGAGGAATAAAACATGATTTTATGATTGTTTTGGCATTATGGAGGTTTGCAGGAAAAGCCTGACGTGTGTCTTGCTGACCCTAATGCAGAAGAAAAATTGCTTTCGTGATTAGGAGTCTCCGTGAGGTAGAATCACTTGGAAGGAAAGGTTGACGTATCAGAGCCCATATCAATAGAAACGTGGACAGTTTCGTAGATACCCTTACTGCTCATTGAAAAAATGTTTCATCCCTCTTGATTCAATAGTACAGGAGGTCTTAAATTGCCTAGAAATACTTCCCACCCAGGCAAATTCTTGCATTTTTCTCCTACATGTAAAAAATCTTTTTTTGCTAGAAAATTGCTCAGAACCCCCAAATAAATAAATTTATTTATTTGGGGTTTCTGAGCAATTTTGTAGCCAAAAAAAAAAAAAAAAAAATTTTTTCCTCAGAACCCCCAAATATATATATATATATATATATATTTTTATTTATATATATATTTATATTTATATATTTATATTTATATATATTTATATATTTATATTTATATATATTTATATTTATATATATATATATATTTTTATATATATATATATATATATTTTTATATAATGGCTGTCATGGCAATTTTTTCACATCACATGGTATTTATGCAACAATTTTTCAAATGCAAGGTCTGTATGTAAAAAAACAGATCTCTCCCCTGTCAGCACCTGCACGCTGCCTTTGTATTGCTTGCAGGAGCAGAGAAATACACAGCAGCATTTTTACATAGTAAAACGACAACACAGCGCATAGTTAACCTTGTGATCGCCAGATGTTAACCCCTTCCTGCCCTGGGCATTAGTACAGGTCAGTGCTTTTTATTTAGTA